ATCAAAAGATATGATGAAAACTAAATTTCCTTGGTTAAATGTAGATGATATTGAATTAGGAAGTCTTGGAACATTAAACTCAGGATGGTAAATTGTATAAATTATTGATTAGTTTTTTTTATTTTATTTAATTAATTTTTTGTATAATCATATTGTATAGGTTTGATCCTTGGTCCTTGTTGAATGCATTAAGAAATAAAGCTAAATCACTAGGGACATATTATATTGAGGGTGAAGTAGAAAATTTTGGTTTTAAAGTAGATACAAGCATAGTGGTAGAAGAAGATCCTAATAAAGAATATGAAGGGATCAATAGCGTAAAAGTATGTATGAGTGTTATATTTACGATTATAGTTTTAAATTTATTTATTTATATTTGATACATATTACACATTAAATATAACTTGTATAATTTTTAATTTCGTAGGTAAAATTAAAAGATGGCAAAACCCAACAAATAGTATTTGGTGTATGTATTGTAGCAGCTGGCGCTGAATCAGGAAATGTTGCCCGAATGGCTAAAGTTGGAAATGGAAAAGGATTTTTATCTACACCTTTGCCTATTGAACCTCGGTAATTAAAAAATAATATTAACTTTTTAGGATATATAAATACAGCAGGATCTTGATAATCTGAAAGACATGGTAATCCGAATGGGCTTGAGAATTATCTTATCCCCTCAAATTACCACAGATTACTGAGGCCCTAATGTATATATATATATGTTATGTATAAATATATATTTTTAATCAGCTCTTTATTAAACTTTTTTTACAGTAAACGTTTCGTGTATTATTACCATGCTCCTAAAGGTCCTTCGATGTCGCCAATGGTAATTGATCCATCTGGAATTTATTTTAGGTACCAAACTTTAAATATGTATTTATATTTTGTGGTGTCTAATGACATAATATTGTATAATGCATTATAATATTTAGATAAAAAATTTTGAAGTCAATATGTAAATATTATAATTTAATAGTGTTTAATTATTTGATGTAAGATGTATTATAAGCTATAATACATATTCTCATCAAGATAGGACTTATTTGCCTTTACTTACTAAAATTCAAAACATTTTTCTATATGCAAACATACATTAATTTTCAAAGTAAATATTTTAATTTGTGGCTTTTTGTTAACATATTTGTGTTATATTCTCAATTACATAAAATAATAATAAGTTTTTTAAACTATTGTTTTGTAGGCCTGACAGCTTTAACAACCATTATATATGTGGTAAATCACCATGTGATGCAGAAGAACCAGAAACAGCCAATTTAGATGTAGATCATGATTTTTTTGAAAAGGAGATCTGGGCAATGCTTGCACACAGAGTACCTGCATTTGAAGAAGCAAAAGTAATTAAAAACTGTTTCACTATAAATATTTTATTTCAATTAATTATAAAGTAAATAAAAAACTAGTCATATTATCAAAAATAAATTTAAAAAATAAAATAAATGTCAATATGTATTTAACACATTGAACTTCAATATAAACACATAGTTGACATTGTTGATATTCGTTAATCAGTGCCCGTGGCTAATATAAACACATTGTCGACATGCATTAACCTGTTTTGTATCAAGTCTTTATACCCATTCATAATTTAAATTTTTATTAGTCGTTCGTTATCATATTGATATTATTCAGTAGATTCTGCCTATTTTACAAATAGCAACGACATTGTTTAAATAAGAATATTTGTATTTTAAGTCATTCTCCATTTGCAAGAGGTATTTATAATTATAAAATATTTTTACMCTAAGGTTAATTATGTACCTAGTATCTTGTACATGAAGTGGCTTAACTATATATCTATGATGGTCTTTTGTTGTTATTATGCTTGTTTAAAAAATATTAATAAGTTCAGCTTAAGCCAGATTCACAGCTACATACAATGTCTTGTTATGCGAGAGGGTATGTTAGGTATAGTTATAACTAGTATTCATTTTAGTTTAAAAATTAAGMTGTAATGAATTCTTAGTAATGAAACTTGGTTATTACATGATAATAAAAAAAATAACGTCCAATCACAATGCGATTTGATTGAAACTACAGGAGACAATATTGCTGTGAATTTCCCTTTATATTATTGAATGGGATTATTCATGAAATAACTGGGTACCTCATTTCCAGAATTTTTAAGTCAATTAAACCTTTAATTTACAATTTAAGAGGGTACTTAATTAAGTCCCTATAATTTGTTTAGTAGAATTGTGTACATGTTTTTAAAATAATATTGCATTGATTTTTTTAGCTTAAATTTTTTTACCTTTATTCATAGCTATGTTGTTTTGTTGTCTGTCATATTTCTCTAAAATGCAAAAATTGAGCTCTGCCCAGGTTTTGAAATGTCCTTGCTTTGTGGTCAGTGATTGAATGACAAAGAATGATACCATGATTACATCCGTCAATTAGAATACAATAAAAGGCACTCAACACAATAGGTAACATAGATAGAATCTGGCTCAAATCCTAATACTCTTTAACTATTTATTCGTGTATGATGTAAATTTATCGCAGAGTCCAGAATACCTATATCTTTATCTTTAGTCAATACATGTTAAACATGCATAGTTTTTATAATTTTCATACAATATTAAATTTGCCACCAATCAAAGTACGAGTACATGTGATAAAATTGTGTGTGTAAAGCTGTTACAATCAGTTTTGCATTAATACATCAGGAATCATAAAGATATAAATAATAATTCTGAAAAGTCCTCTTATTTTTTAAAACAGTAAAAATGTAATAAATTATAATCGTAAAAATAATAAAAATTATTAACTTGTTTCTTGGTATTTCTTATTTTAAAATTAAAATAAAACATTAATGATATAGTTGTGACGTATGCAACTATATATTATAGTGAGTTAATATTAGTTTTTTTAATTTTAACTTCACATCCAAGTAATAATTATTTTTAATTTACCTGCACACTTTTTTATTAATAAATTATGTAAATACTTAAACTATTCACAATCTAGAATTTTTATGGAATAACTAGTTTTAACACAAAATTTATGATGGAGTATTTATTTAATATTGTTAATACTTTTATAATTTATTACAAAATTTAATATTTGTAATAAGCCTACAATATATATTCTATTTTAGTTGATATTATTTTTAATTTACCTGCACACTTTTTTATTAATAAATTATGTAAATACTTAAACTATTCACAATCTAGAATTTTTATGGAATAACTAGTTTTAACACAAAATTTATGATGGAGTATTTATTTAATATTGTTAATACTTTTATAATTTATTACAAAATTTAATATTTGTTAAATATATATAATATCAACTAAAATAGAATATATATTGTAGGCTTATTACAAATTTAAAACTATTCCAAATAAAAAAATAAAGTTAAATTTATTTATTTTGATTTAACTATAATGTCGGCGTTCACATAAAACAAATCATATCTTACACTAATAAGAATACATTTTTATTTAATAAAATAATTTTTTTTTAATTTTAACTGCTTAGTAACATAATATTCTACTTAATAATTTATTATGCATATGCTGAGTTGCATGAAAAATATAATGGTTCAATAAAATTATTATGGAACTATCATGATCTACTAAATCATGTTTAAGGGACCATTGGCTCACTATTGATTCAATAAAGTGTTAGGTGATTGTTCATGCAACCCAGTAATAAAATATATTTTCTCAAGTGTTTATACATATTTAATATTATATTCTATAAAATAAAATACAATAGATACATTTACATAATGTGTTTATTTCAATTTCAAAATATGTATTATCATAGAACGATTTCACTATTTAAATTAGGTATGCCTTATTGTATGCTATCACAATTGATGATCATTTTTAATGATTAAAATTACTTCACAGGTGAAAAGTAGCTGGGCTGGATTTTATGATTATAATTGGTATGATCAAAATGCTGTTATTGGATCTCATCCAAGTTATTTCAACTTATTTTTTGCTGCTGGTTTTAGTGGACATGGTATGAAATATAAACATTTAAATTTAATTTGTTCAATTTAATCAACTTATATTTTTTAATATTAGGTATACAACAAGCACCAGCTATTGGCCGAGCTGTAATGGAAATGATTACTGAGAGTGGATATAACACAATAGATCTTTCTAGGTTAGGGTTTGGCCGGTTGATTGCTGAACAACCATTATATGAAGAAAACATTGTCTAACAGCTTAAAAATCAATTATARTATATTAATGATTTGATTTTTATGTTTAAATAGATGATGATCATTGTTAATATGTTTTTTTTTTTAAATTTAATTATTTTAAATTTTTAAAAATATAAATATTATAATAGATGTTAAATAAATAAATACTATTGTATGTTCTTGAGGCATATTACAGGTTACAATGGAATAACTATCCATACTAAATAATGCCTGAAAAAGAACAATGTTCATATTAATTGTTAAGAAACTATGCTTTAAAACAACTGTTAATATAGTTAATTTAATTTCACATATTTATCATCACTCCCATTATTGTATTATACTTACAAGCATGTAACTTGGATTATATTTATTTCTCCAGTTAAATGATGATATGCTATATTMATGAACTCCATTTGTATGTTTAATATGACAACCATGATGAGTATGACCACCAAAGACTAGACGAGGTTGCACCGCTTTCAACAACTAATTAAATAGAAACAAAAATTATTTTTATCTAAAAATAATAATAGTTTGTGTATTTATGTTACCAACATTACACAACAATAATATTTAGTTATTTGACATACAACAGTTTAATTATGAAAATAGTTAGAAAATAATATTTTAAACCAAATTTAATTTCAGTAAATATTTAATTTAATTTATTTTTTTTATAGAATTCTTTATTTCATATATTATGACCAGTTTTACAAAATTTACCTAACAATGTCAACACAATTAATTGAAAAAAGTACTATACAAAAAAATTGTGAAAATATTTCTTAATGGGTTGTTTTTATATCAGTTTTATAATGGCCATCATTAAGTTTCATCATTTTTTCTCGTCAGCATAGAGTAGTATATGTGAGTGAAATTCTTGCCACTAATTTTCTATTTGTATGGCTATTGGAACACATAATGTTATACGACTATATATAAAAGTACTTAATTTTGAGCAACCCTGTCCCTCGAGGTATATTATAATGTATACAAAATTGATCATTAAAAGCCTATAAGAAACCTTAWTAATTCTTATATTAAAGTTTGATAACAATCAGTCTGTTATATATTTACATATAATATTTATTTATTAATGTTAAAATAATAATGATGATATAATATACGAAATTAAGTAC